CATCATCAAGTCGGGATTGAGGCGGTGCAAGCAGGGATCACGACCCCAGGCTTCTGTGGGCATTCCAGCTGGCTTTTCTGTGAAGTCTCCATCACAGCAGAAGACATTGAAGCGAGTGGCAGGAGATTTCCAATGAAATGCTGGGAAAACTGGCCAAAGTATCAAGTGGATTAAATACATACTGCTGGATCAGTGACGTCAGCCTGCAGGACTGTGCCCATAAAGAAGACCGCCCCGATCCAGCCTACAGCACCATTCTCCTCCTCGGTCGTAGCGACGCCGGCCGGGGAGATCCTGAAAAAGTACTTCCATCCTCCTCAGGAGACAATCTGCTGCTTCCTTTACATTTTCATCCAGAGTGACTTCATTTTTTTCAACTGGAGGAATTCAGGTTAAGTACCCTTTTCAAGGGTATAACAACTTGGCCCCTCCTGGGACTCAAACTAGCAACCTTCTGGATGCAGGTCCCCCGTCCTGACCCACTACAGTACCTGGCGCCCCAGTAAGAAAAGAAGCACACAATCATTTTCGGTCTGGCGGTTCACTGTTCCGCAGATTAGCTGTCGGCTTCATCTGAAGCGAGTTCCCACTTTTACCTGCCTGAAGCTGCCCACAGCAGGATGGATTTATTTTTAATTCATGAGGACCACGGTCTGTCCGTATCAACGAAAGAGCTTGAACATGAGCAGAGAACCTGCAAAACTGTGTGCTGGGCTAAAAGGCAGCCCAGCCCCACAATACGACTTGTTACTCAGGGGAACAACATCGATCTGAATGTTTATGTGAGGAGACTCTAACTGGGCGTTTCGCTGTTTGGTTTAGATGGCGACTGACCTATCAGGGGGGAAGGAATAGGGTAAGCAGCTGTTGTTTTTGACGCGCGGTTCTTCGGTGAGGTTTCACGTGAACACCTTGTTTTCCTGGATCCCTCAGAATGGCTTTCAGTCATCATCTGCCACATCCCAACCGGTCATTTATTTTAAACTGGGGGGGAGGGGGGTATGGGCCAGGACCATGCAGAGGCGACGTGGTAAGGGCCATCATTAAGAAGTAAGCAGAATGGAGAACGGCAGCACTCCCAACCCGAATGGCCTGATTGGATCTCCCGTGCAGTTGACAAGCTGTCATTATCGCCGCATTCTCACCTCTTCTGAGCAGGAAAAAAAACACACACACACAGGTGCTAAAAACAGGCCACGGTGACAATACGCCAGACGGATGAGCCGCCCGGTCGACACGACCCTCGTAATGGCTGGCCACCTGCAGGTCCGCCTCCTGAGGACATTCTCACAGAAGCTACCATCTGAATGCTCTAGGTCAGTGTCAACGTGCCTGCGGCAGCCGGGGAGGGAATGAGGACAAAGAAAACCAGCCGCGGGAGCCTGTCCTGCGATAGGCGGCATTGTTCACAGGTCCATTTCAACACACATCTCCTTACAGTGTCTTGTTAATGGCCCCTTGTTATGCTTTCTCATCAATGCCTACCTCGTTACGGTTTTTCGTTAGTGCCTACATTGTTACAGCTTTTCGTTAATACATTTGTTACGGTTTCTCATTAAAAGCCACCTCATTACAATATCTCGGTAATACCTATCTCGCTATGGTTTCTCATTAATACCAAACTTATTAGGCGCTTTCACTCTGCAGGAAGCTTTTTCCAGAACAAGGAACTTCTGTCGTGTTCACACTGCAGGAACTCGGTCCGATTGTAGTTCCTCCCTTTTTAGTACCTACTCCAGTTAGGCACTTTGCGTTCGAACACGAACTACCGCGGAGGTGTTTACAGTGACAGGTTGTTAATTGGTTGACCACAAGCACCAGCAATAATTTAGAACTTGGAAGTGCGGTGAAAAGAGATATAATTAACAGAGCAAAAATTGAGTAGTTGAACTTCAGTTACATTTGTTTGCCATATTTCTACATCAGAAAATTTGCTCGATAACTAATATACTTTTGTCTGATATCGTCGGTGCCGGAGGTGAAACTTGCCAGAGCATATTAGCGGAATTACGTTACACCGTTTTTTTCTTCCGTGAAAAGTGAAAGATCGATATGCTGGCCAGATTTAATAATGAAAAATGAAAACATGTTGTGGGTCTTATGAATAAAATATGAATAAAGGCTGTGTACTATTTTTATCACAATCACCCCCAATCCCCAATGACTAACAAATAACAACGAGATAACTTGTTCATTTTCCATTGTTATGAGGTGGCAGTGTAGTTTTGAAGTATGTGTGAAGTTAACCTACGAGCTTTTTGCGTTTCCCATGCTTATTTAGCATAAAGATCATAGTTCTGTACAGTGTTAAAGAAACACTTTAAAAGTCCCGTGTCAAGACAGATAGGAAAGATATGAGCAGGAACCAGGCTCTGGAACTTCGATGTGAAAGCACCTGTTATATTTTCTCGTTAATACCCACTTTGTCATGATTTTTTGTTAATACTCACATTCATTATAGTTTATCATTATTACCCACTTCATTACGATTTCTTAATACCCATCTGGATATGGTTTCTCATTAATAACCACCTCATTATGATTTTTCATTAGCACTAACCTTATTACGATTTCTCGTTAATACCCAACTTGATACAATTTCATGTTAATTCCCACTTTCTAACACAGGGGTACCCAATCCTGCTCCTGGAGAGGTACCACCCTCCAGAGCTTAGGTACAGCCCTAATCTAACACACCTGATACAGATAATCAGGCACTTCAGTATCACCTCAGTATTAGAGTCAGCTATGTTCTATGTTGAAGTTAAGCTGGTTCTCATACTGAGATATAACTGAAGGGCCTGATTATCTGTATCAGGTGTGTTAGATTAGGGCTGTACCCAAGCTCTGCATGGTGCTAACTCTCCAGGAGCAAGATTGGGAACCCCTGATCTAACGGTTTCTCTTTGATACTCTTGTTACTGTTCCTCATTAATTAATACCCAGTTCGTTATCATTTCTTGTTAATACCCATCTCATTATGGCTTTCCGTTAATATCCACATTCATTTCAGTTTCTCATTAATACCCACCTCACTACGGTTCCTTGTAATACCCAACTAATTAATATCCACCTCATTGCGGTTTCCTGTTAATAGCCAACTCGTTCTGGTTCCTCATTAATACCCACCTCATTATGGTTTCTCATTAATGCCCAACTTGCTGCTACTAACCTCATTTGGTTTAATAGCCAGCTAGTTACATTTTGTGGGAACAGAGAACAGCAATGGGCA